CATCCTAGCTGACTTAAAATACTAACAAGTTGGAAGAAAAACATTAGATCTGTGTTGTAGAGTTTGTAAATTTTTTGCTTCTGTGGATCTTCTGTTGCAAGAGAGGGGACTCTGGTCCTTTTGATCTGGGTCTAATGGATTCTAATCCAAACTTCTTGTCTTTCAGACTCTGAGCCTGAGATGTATAGGTCCTACCTTGACAGCTCTGCATCTTTACAGCTCCACCACCTGTGTTTACAGTGTCAGATGGTGGCCACACACCCTCTGGAGCAGATGCAAATAGTTGGCTTGCAGCACACTGACCAGCTCTGACTTGTGCATGGCTCTGTGGAGAGGCTGCAGCCGATGTGCCATGTATTGGCTCTGCTGAGAGGAGTAGTGACTTTGTCACTCCCTTTTAATCCTGATACACAACCTGATACACAACCAATCTAAGACCAAATAGGATGGTGTCCCGTGCAATGTGAGATAAGCTGGAGGTCTCTGTGGCCTTTCATGACCCAAAAGCTTGCTTTACCGTTGCCCTGTGCCTTGTGTGGTCGTTGCCACCCCTGCAGAATGTGTGTTGCATGTGTCTGCCAGTCCAGAAGTGCATTACACCTCTGCACTACTGTGGAGTGTTGTGTGGTGGAGAGTCAGGCCTAGAAGGAGGTCAGCGTGATGCTGGCTTCCATCCATTTGGCCTCATCTCTACGGTGGTCCCAATGTTACTTCAAACTGGCACAGTCTGGCAGTACTGAGTAGAGATGGTGCTATCAACAGAAGGTGACAGGAACAGTGCTGAGCAATCCACTCTGGAGCTCCAGGGTGAAATTTGGTGCTTTTTCTGTGAACAAACAAAAGGATGTGTCTCTTCAGGCAGTTCTTGAGTCCGTCAGCTGCTGTTCTTGAAAAGGCCTGTGGTACCAATTCTCATACAGGTTTCTGACTGTGCCTTTGAGTGGGGTGACCTGGGAAGGATGATGAGGTGGAAGAAGACATGACCAGCTGTGGTTTTCTAAAGCCAGTACCCAGCGGGAAGTGGTAGCAATGGGTGTGCGTGGCTGGCTGGAGTGCCCAACTCAGTATGACTCTCTGAAATACGTATACAGTCAGTGTGTTACACGAGGATGTGGGAAACGTTTCCTCTGTGTAACTGTTGCTCTGTTTGGTAAGTGTATGGTGATGGGATGCTGTGTTGTATGGCAGCAAACGTTCCTTGTATTGTGGGTTGTCTGCTTACAACTTGCCTTTCAGTGTGCTGAGTTTTGTGGCAGCAAACAAGATCCTTGATCTGGTGTTAGGCCATTTGTGGGAGATGGATGTGTTTGTGGGAACTTGGTGGTGGGAGTGGGGCATAGGGTGTTATCTAACAAGGTGGGGTTGCTTGCTCAGAGTTAACTAAGCTTCCTCTAAAAAACACTTGCAGTTTTGTTTGTTGCCATGCTGTCTGGTTTTGTTTCTTGTCTGGAAAGTCCAAAATAACCCCACTGAATAATCTCAGATTTACACCAGTGTTTCTGAGATTAGAATCTGCTCTGTAGAGTCTCCTATTCGGGGTCAGGTGAAATGGCGAGTCACCCATTGCCGCAGGTTTCAAGAACAATAAGATGTTTTAGGAATATGCAATAATTGGTTGCCTCTAAAGGGCACATTTTCCTCTTTGCTGCCAAACTAGGGCTGTTCTCAGTGATAAGTGTACGCTGAACAAAGCCTGCCGAAGTTCATAACGTTGGTTTCATTCTCCTGGGAGGGCAGCAAGCCAGGACATTGAGCACACTGATCTCAATCTTGCGAAGAATCAGGTCTGCAGGAAATTCAAGTTGCCTTGCTAAGGTACTGTGCCCACCTACTGCTGCTCAGAGCTGGGTTCCCACTGCCAGTTTCCAACAATATGGTTATCCTGAAGCACTACTCTCCAGAAGGGAAAGGCTGAAATGCTATTAGAATAGACGATATAAATAACGGAACATCGATCAGTTGCTTTGTATTTCTGTTCTTCAGTTACTATTTTATCCTTCCCCAGAACAGTCTGTTGTTAAACTGAAATGGTGCTAGCTCTTGTGGCTTGTTTTTCAAAGCAAACCTTTTATATCACTTTTATGTAGTGTGGAAGATATCTTCTGAACATACAATAGTTTTTCAAAGTTGACAGTGCATTTATGAGTTAGATGAGCTAGGTGACCTTCCTGTCAGCTTAAAAACAGAGGTGTCCTTCCTCCTTTTCTTAACACATTCAGTTCATGAGAAAGTGAAAATATTAGGCCAAGGTTTTTGAAGCAATCAGCATGAGGCACAAAAATAATCACTCTGGTTTTGAATTACATCAAGCCCCGTTGCAGTTAATTGGTGTTTCACAAATGGCATCTGAAGGGCCAGGATGTCACCTCATGTTGTCTGTATCATTTAGGGTGTGAAAACAGAAACTCTCGTCTTGCATTTATCAATTTTCTGACAAAGCCAAGAGTTGCAAAATTGAAACTTTTTTTTAATGTCAAATGAAGGAATTACTTTAACAAAGTAATGAAAATTGAGGATAATCAATTTACCTAGGCACATATAGCTCTTACATATGGAAAATTGCTATTTCCTTCATAGCCACACTGTTACAGTCATTATAATATCTAAATAACTTATTTCTAGCAGTCTGTCCTGCAGTGAAGTCATAGCCTCCAGTCTGTATCATCCTGCAGCTGCCATAGGAACAGTTTGAGATGTCACAGGCTCATCTTGAATTCACTAGAGGCATTTGGCTCATTAATTCAAATGTCAAGGAAAGTGCATCAACCTAAGATAGGTTTAATCAGTGACAGAAATAAAAAGTTTCCTAACTTGGGGTTTTCTTCTGCACGGGCTCCATGGTGCAGAAATTTTCTGTGGGTTGATTTACCACAGTGAGGTTGCTTCCACCTCCCAGAACAGGAGGAGCAGATTGGGTGTCCATGCATTGGGTGTCCGTACATTGGGTGTCCGTACGTTGTGCTGCAGGCCAGTGTTTGGGGTCTGCCTCAGGCTGAAGAACAGTCTCTCCATCCTCTCTGCGCAGACGATGAAAACCTCAGTGCTGGCAATCTGTAACAGTGAGCTGAAGAGAACTCTAGGGAAAAGCCTCCACAGAACAATGCTGCTGCGATCTAGAGATCTCGCAGCCACCTTTTGTGTAACCCCATGACTACAGTGTTTCAAGATGAAAATGTTCTATTCTGTATCAGCATGAAAACATTTTAGAACAGATTTGATTTCAACTGAAATTTTGAGAATTGTACTCTAAGAGAGCAAGTGATGATCACTTTTAGCTCCTTTCAACTAGTTTTGAAGTATATGTGTAAGAAACTAGGTCAATTATCACTTTTATTAACTCATTGCTTTTAAAAGAGACAAGTGTGATTCCATGTATATATCCCATCTTTTCCCTAGTTCAGAGTTTTTTGAAGAGCCTGAGAAGTTTTTCCACTGCTAGGTCCCCCCAGAGCCCACAATGCCTCCTACAGCTCCTTCTGCTGACGTTTTTTCAGCTCTTTAAAGGAATTTCCATTAACTTCTCCTGCGGACAGAGTTGTAATCTGAAAAAGGCTTCGTCCAACAACAGGAAGGCTGTAATTGTTCATACAGCATCCGGGAAAGATATGCATGAGCTTCCTGAGTTAATGAAATCCTAGAGGCTTTTTATAAAGTTTCAATGACTGCCAGTCATTTAAAAATGTCACACTGCGTAGGCTCACTGCTGTGTATGTTACAGAGGGAATTTTGCTTTTAATTACATCGCACAGTTGACACATTCTGCCTTGTTTCCTAACCCTCCTCTAAAGTGCCAGTAGTCGGTCACTACCAGGGACCAAAAATAATGGATGAGATGTTTGATCCAAACCTCTGATGTACAAAGTTACTTCACAAGTTCCACTGGCACAGAAAATATGAGGAATCACTCAAAAGCAAAGCTGACTTTATTTTCTACCAGAACGACACATAAGACCAAGATCAGAGCCCAGGAAGCTTTGCCGTCTGGCTGAGATACCAAAGTGGCAATGTTGGCCTTTGGTTACACCCACGATTCTTTCTTGTCCAAATCCCTTTGAAAGGTAAATTTCATGAACTATACAGGAGACCTCCTTTTCCTTGTTAGTTATGGCAGGAGCTGAACAAAGCCATTGCGTGTTGGCGAGAAGATGCTTTAGTTTTGATTGATTGTTTCTGCCTGGGGCTGGGCAGTTGTTGGATTAGCTGCCTGAAGAACAGTTGTTTACAACACCTTCTTCAGAAGAGCTTTGGATCAGATTCCGGGTTGAATTATGGACAGTTTCATAATACGGGTTTATTCATTTTTAGTTCTTTAAAAATTAACACATATTATTAATATCTTGACTATCATACACTGAAACTCATCATTTATGTCCAGGTAACAGCCACAGATGTTGATCTGGTTTGCAGTCAAGTCTCATTTGCTGACTTGGTTTAGATGACACTCATGAGAAGTCCCTCATGGAAGCTGCATGTCATCCAGCTAACGCACTTCTTGTCATCACAGATCTCTGATGCAGAGGCATTGCTTAAAATACAGTAATAGGAAAAATGTTCCCTGTGTAGAAGCTCTGTCCTTCATGTGGACAACTGCTTTGAAGACTTGGTGTAAATGGCCACCTCTGCGTGGGGACCAGCAATGAAACTGCCAATTCATTGTGCAGAAATCATCAGCTGTCAAAAGGTGTAATTTCTTACTGCTATTCTATAGCAAGATTTAGATGAGAAGTCTCCTGAGATCGTATTTCAGCTGCCTGTAGAGACTCCAGTTAGGCTTGGCCCACACAAACAAGTGCAACAGAGAGAGAACTTACATCTAAATCTAAGAAAACTACCTATGGCTTTCTTGATCCCCTGAGCCACCAAACTCCCTGCATTTCAATCTGTTATTCTTAACAACATATTCCTCCTACTGACAGCTTTCCAGGTAATAGTAAAGTAGTGTAACATTAACTGATGTATTCAAGTAAAAAAAGTTAGGTAATTTGATGTTTCTTTTTTAGGCCTGCTGTTCTGAGGAGTTCTGAAGACTTCGCTGTGCTAATAAAGAACAACGTTCACTTCCCAAAATTTAATTATGCCATGTAAGTGTAAACATTCCTCAATGCTTTCTGAAGAGTGAGTAGTTGTGCTCTAAGAAAAAGACTGTTGGCAGGTCCCTCTTGCCAACTTCAGTTGTCTCTTCCTCTTTTTCAAGACATTAATGGTTACTTCTCTAGGCTGCCTCTACTAGTCTCCCAGCATTTTAGACATTTATTTTTAAAGAAGAGTGAAGACGAGAGTACCTAAAGGCCCTAACTCCTACAGTTTTCTTCTGCTGCACAGGTGATGTGTGTGTCCTAAGTTGAGGAGCCAGATATTACCTTGATAAAGAAGCCTCTGAAAACAAGCTTGCAGCATGCTCAAGGCAGTATTGCTGAGGTAGAGACAGACACTTAATCTTTGGGATCCTCCCCTCAGAAGGGAGAACTGAGGAATGTAATTTCAAACTGATTTGGGTTTCTACCACCCCCATATTTCCAGATTAGATTCTGAAGGGCTAAAACTAGATTCCTACTGTCCACTTCAAGTGAATAGGTCCTGTGACCAGAGGATGTGTTTTCCAGAGCCAGCTAAAAATTCCTGCTTTCCTATGGTGGCTATGTGCGTTGGTGTTGAAACAAGTTGTGAGGTGTCGATTCGATTTCTCTAGGGTGGGCGTTGGCAACACAGAAAGACAATCCTCCTCCAGATCTGCTGATCTATCATCATTATCCCTATTGTGCTGTGTCAATTGAAAAACCCAATGGTGAGGATCGCTGTTGTAAATTCTCTCTGCAGTTGGATGAAGCTGATTTATTTTTAATTTACGTTGGGAATTGTTGTAGAGCCACCCTGTGAAATTCTATGATGCTGCCAGCTGCTGCACCAATGAGTCCAACGAGGACCATGATAATGAAGAATACGAGGCACCTGTGACTGCCAGAAGTGGTGCTGCTGTGGCAAATGCCAGCCAGCACAGAAATACTACGAGCAGCAATGCTGCCAAAGGAAAACAGGACAGTGCCTCACGACTTCCCATTGGTTTCAGCAGCTGGTGGTGTCCAGGCACACCCTGACGAAAGCCCTTCTCTACAAAGACCCCTTTCTGGACTTAAGGGATGGCAATATCAACAACCAACTGCATCACCTCGCGTACAAGCAGTACGTTCACTGGTGCCTTGGCTCTTTTGATCTGGAAAACAGAGCCATCGTCCCAAGCTTCTGCAGATGGAAAATCAGAGATGCATATCCCAAAGCAGTCAACAACTATACTGGTTTTAAGATGGAAGGAGGATGTAGCACAACTTGAGCTCACTCTGTGGCTAATCTCGGACATTTAACCTTTGTTTTCTTTTGTGGACCCTTTAAAAAAATTATAAGAAAGCATGTGACTTCCCAAAATCTTCTGTAGTACCACTGAATTCTTGTACACTGTCTTTGGAGAGGCACAACTGCCTACTGCTTAGCACAGAGGAACAAATAACTTCAGCTAAAGTACTTGATTCTGCCTTTGCTTCATTCTGTGGATCACCCCACGTGGTTTGAAAATGTAGCCTGTGAGGTGAATTCTTAGGGCTATATTTTACTGGGAGGCTCCAGGCTTCCTGCATTTGCACTGGTGCATACTACAGTCCCAGCTGAGTCAGGGGAGGAGCAGCACCTTGAAAATAAGATGGAACCAAGAGTCCAAGCATGGCCCCTGAAGGAAGGAAGATATATCACTTGAAAATGTGGTCCCGAGCACTTTTCTTCCCCAGCCTCACCACCTTTCTGCAGCCCTCGATCAAGAGGCTCTAGAAAGAGGCCACTGAACATGTAGTTTCGTAATTCACCATTGGAGGCCCCATGGTCCGTCCAGATTAAACAGGCTCATTTTAGATTATTTCCGTGGCACAGACAAAGCATTTTCTGAAAAGCCCAGCTGTTCTCTTTGTATTACTCCTTTTAGCTTGAACTGAGGAATTACAAAGAAAAGTACTTTTCCCGTCTCTGTGTAATATTTTTGGGCATTTCATTCATACGCATTGAAATAGTAATGTTGGACTTCGGCCTCCTGTTTGCTTTTAGCTTCAAACAGGCCTTGTCTCCTACACCTCCTCCTACTGAATGTGGCACAGCGCGAGTTGCTTTGTGCTAGCATGCATAAGGCCAGAGTACAGCAGAGGAGCAGCAAATTCAGAGTAGATTAATCTGTGCTTGAACATCTTTCCAGTTCTTTCTTTTTGTTGGACATGTTCTATTTTTGCAGAACCAAGGTGAGAAGGATTGTAATGTGTATTCTGCACCCCTCTCAGCCATGCTTTGTTCTTTCTGAGCTAACCCAGCAGTTTGTCATTTCCATTTCCCACATATATTTTAAGATACATTACGGGCAGATTACGCCAGCTGTATTTATATCTTAATTGTAATATGCATTAATTGTATTAACATTCATATTGCAGCATCTTAGATATCTAGAGTGGGAAAAGATTACAGTTGGCATTAATGCATTCCTGTTCTGACACGTGAACCAACTCTCCTTTTGGAAAGAATTGCACTGAATATTCACTTAAGACTGTGGTTTGAGTCTCCTTTCACATTTGTATATATGTTCTTCCTTATGCTCTCCCCTGGTTTCTTTGGTCCTTTCAGTTTTGACTCTTTCTATGCTAAACAGCATTTTACTAATCTATAGCTGACTCAAAGTTTAATAGTTTTGTACTGTCTGAAATTCCCACTGCCAGTTTGTCAGTTTGCTTCATCTCTTTCTAGCGATTTACCTGCTAGTATGAGGGTTGGGATGATGTTTCTAAAATAAGCACTGTGTTGGGCAGCTCAGCATCAGGTGGAAGCCACATGAATTATGTGGTGCAGATCTCTGCTTTTACACCAAAGATTAACTCTGCAAGAGGATAAATAAAGGATTTGCTCGCTGTGGATGGGAGGGTGTTTGATATGCTTCTGCTATCTTTTGCAGGCAGGTGCTCTGTCCTTGTCGTGAGCTGGCTGCAAGCTACGTCTTGGTGTTAGGACGGTCCTGGCCCGAGATCATCTCTCCAGCTTCTCTGTAAGACTTGGTAGCCCAGGCTCAGCACAGGGCTGACAGCAGCAGACTGCCAGGTAATGGAGGTGAAAAACTCCCCATAAATTTACTAACAGTGAGTAGAATGGGAAAAAATTCTCCCTGAGTTAGCAACTTGGGTGAGAGCATCCTGCTTCGGAGGACCTCAGTACGTCCCTGCTCACTGCCAGGGGGGTGGACTGGATGATCTTTGAGGTCCCTTCCAA